CCCCCCCCCCTTTATTCTACTTGCCTCCTTCTTCACTTTCTACGGATTTTTGTCCACTCGATCTAACAGATAGTACCTGCTTCATCTTCCTTTCTAAAGTCATTTACAAAGCGCGCCCCAAACCGACGCAACGCTAACTTCTCATTTCAAACGGGAAAAGTAGTGATTGTTTCGTTATCTGAACAACGGACCATGTCGATATGCGTGAGATCAGAGATTCGTCTTAGAAAACCCATTTCAAACGCTTGTACCTGGGATCGAAGTGTTTCAGTTATGCCCCACCTATAAATGAGAATCGGAATGAAGATCTACTTGAGAGAGCTTCGGGCTCCCAATCTGTCGATGCTAGGATTCCCGACTACTCACATCATTTGCATGGTATTCTGGTCGGTTGAAAGTGAATGCAACAGTGACCAAAGTGAACTTTCTGCAAGCCCGGACAACTTTTCTGTCGTCTTGTGATGTTTCACTTATTTCCAGTTAGATAAACCCTCGAGAAAGTTTAAGACGAACTGCAGTTATGCTTATCTTGATGCATATACAGCATTTATTGACAGTACCGTGAAAAATGCCGAAAACCGAATTCTAAACATCTGGCAGACCGGTGCAGTTGACTGATTGGTCTACTAAAATATTAAATCTGTTCCCTGATTCATTTCACACTTCTCCGTGAGCTTGTTCAGCGTTGAAAAGTTTCTTGAATACTGTTTCTATAGACGAAATTGTTTCTCTGCCTTGGTATGGCGTTCGTCCTTGTTCTTCAGGGGTCTTAAACTGTCGTTTTTTGGTGTTGGAGGCTGCAGACGGCGTACCAGAATACTTATCTGAACTTCGACTCAAGTATCTTACCAAACTTTTCTGCGGAATCAGCTCTTGCTTTAGCTAACGCGTTAAACGATTTTTCATTTCGCATTCGTGCTTTTAGCATCTTGTTCTCAAAGCTACCCCTGAGATATTACCTTCTTCTCACTGAGCTACCTTTGAACCTCTGATTTCCATTAATGATTTCGTTTCTGTCATCAATTGGCAGTTCGGCGCGTTTTAAATCGCAGGATTCAGCAGCAGCCTCTAGTATTAGACGTTGCCCTTCTACTTCCTTTCTAGGAGAGGGAACCATAGAAAATTTTGTCATTTTCATGAGTCATTGTCATTTATATGCACCAGGCAAGGCACCGGTTGAGGCTTGACCGTGAGTTTTTCGGACATTGTTTTTCTGTGGCTATTTGATTTTTGAAGGTATTTTTATTTGACATCGTTTTTAGAAGTGATCAAAGCATTGAATGCATTCAAAGCGTGAGCACTGTAAATGTATGTGCTTCTGAAATGGTGTTCTTTGTGTATGTTTTTATGTTTCGATCTTTCCATATTTCATGCAACTTCTTGTAAATGGTTAAAACTAATCTAATATGCAAGCTCAGTTCTCGTTCGCAGACAATGTCTTCAGCCAGAAATGATGAAAGGTTGTCTGCTTCTTTTGCGTCTGCAGCATTGCATAATATCCTTCTTTCATCGGTCGCGACAGGCCACTCATAACCTTGTCTTGTTGATGCAGCTTGTAACCCCGTTTCTGTAGTTGTGTTGCCCTGCTGTTGCATGCTCTTTCGATCAGTGTCAGGATACCAATTTTACAGTCGCTCAACGACATCATTCAGATGCTTAAAATCTGTCAAAATTTCCGTCATCTGAATATTATTGTCTGCATAATACTACTGAAGATATGGAATTGAGGAGACTTAAACTGTTACACTCGAACTGTCCTAAAATCCAGATTTTGTTTCAAATGTGGTTTACAGGCTCATTTGCAGTTGTTTAAATTCTATTGATTTAAATGGCGTTTTATAGTCAATACTACTCATAGCCACACAAGTCCATTAATGTGAAAATTTCGATGGGAAAAGTAAGGACAACTTACTGGTAATATTGGTAATATATTTTCATAAAAAATGCGTTCGTTGTTTCGTTTTTCAGAATCTTCAACTACAAACGATGGAAAACCAAAAACCAGACAGTGCTGACAGTTGTTCTTTCCCTTTCCTCGACCCAATGCTTCTAAGTGAGAATTTACTTCGTGAAAGATTACGACAAGTAAATGATTACAATTATTACTGCAGTTAAAAAAATGAAAACAAACGTAATAATTTGCAACGCAAGCTAAGCAACAGTGATGCCGGTCGATTTCTTTCGTTTGATTTAAAGCATTAATGAATTTATGAATATTTAATTTGCTACACCAACAATCAAGCGTTGTGGTCGATCTGTGGGACTGTTTGCAGTTCTCTAATTTGCAGTTTGCAGTTCTCTAATTTTGAATGATCTTACTTTGTATGAAAAGTGTTTTCATTTGCTGGAAGTGTTCGTCGTCGCTCATTCAGTGCCAGGCCCCTCTTGGTCTTTACTTAGAAAGTGAAGTTAAGCAGTGTATTAATATTTTCTTTCGAAGCGCAAATTGATTCGCATATCTGTTTCTACACCGAGAGCACATGATATTAATTATTACTACGTTTACGTAATGATATTCTGCATTACAATGTCTGATAGGCTAAAATATAAGTTATAAGTGCTCTAAAAGCTCTTGTCACCTTTAGTCTCTCCTAAACAGAGTTGACAAATGAGTATATCACGTGGAAGGAAAATGTAGAAATGTAAGTCCAGTAACTAAATGCTCTTCATTCGTTAATTTTCCTAATCCGCTACTCATTTCTGATTGCAGGGCAGCTGCTCAGTGAGACTTTTCCAATGGTCCTCTGCGCTGCCTAAACAGATAAACTCAAGTTTCTGGATTCAAAGCGCAATTTATTACTATGTCTGTACATATTGCCTGCGTTAGCGTGACACTAGTGAAACTCACAATGAAACAGAGGGCAGGTCGTATCGTAACACTATGAAGAGGATTGCCACAGATGTTACCCATTAAGCGCGAGACTCAGCGATGGATTACTAACAGCGTTCCTTTCTATTTTTGGAATTCGTTTCAAACGGAAGTGAGGCGTGCGTTTGGTCATAATCATTGATAGCATCCTTGCGAATCTGCAGGCTAGTTAAAATTTGTGATGTTCGTTCATTTCGATAAGAGTTATGGTTCCTGTTACTTCAGATTATGTTGGTTAATTTTATATTGAAAATTCAGACGCTTAAACAATTCTGAACACGACCATCCTTTCCACTTCTAATTCTATGTTAAGTTAGAAGTTAAAATAAATATGTTAGAACGCCCGATGCCGCGGCAACTGACGCGTTCCAATTCCAGAGGTACGTCTGTGTGACATGAGATCTCATTTCCATTATGTATTGTACAGTTACTGACGGGGGGTGTGTAAGGATTTCTTAATGTCTGCGATATGTTACCTCATTTTTGTTGAAGTTGTCTTCTAGGGCATGGGCGACCGAGGTATTGTTAACATGGCTATTGCATGGTTGTTCTGTGCCACTCTTTCAAATTTTAATGATATACATGTCTAATATTGCAATAACGTAATTGCAGACGCCATAGTTTACTTGATAGGTGATATTCGTAGCCTTCTTGTTTGGATAATGAGCTAAC